GTAATTAGGGTCCAATAAAAACAATGCCCCACCAAACCTCATAAACATGATCACTGGAAGTCGTACCACAGACGCTTAATGTCAAATCACAATAAATGCATTTGAATAGCAATAACATGTAACAGGATCATGTATTCTCTTAACACCATCGCAAGACACCATGTAATCACATCTAAAATTGAAACACCAGCAAGTACATATAATAAAATGTGTATTAACATTTTTCGTCAGGAAATCAAAAAGTCATCTCCTTGTTACCACGTCCAGGTTCAGGTAGACATGCCCATGGGTCCTCCTTTGGTCAAAAGTTTGTTCCCCCTCTAATGAGTGTGACACGCTTTGCACACGGGTATCACACGTGTGGCGTACGGGTTCCACTCGGGTGACCGACGGGGTGCACACGGGTTGCGTAACGCGTTGCCCATGCGTGTAAGGGGAATGAACTTCTAGGCAGTAGTGTAGTGCTAATGTTTCACACGCTTTTGACCAAATTAATCTGGATGTGAAGACAATACCTCGATATTTATAGTTGGATACTACTTGCATATGTTTGATCATGTCTATCATGTCTATGTATAAAAACACTTTTGTGTTATACTTTAAGAACATTTTCTTCTGAAAACACACGTCTTTACATTTAGATGTCTTGCAGGGAAATACACTAATACAGTTAAACATTCTTTAACTGATATGCGCGTGTTTTATACTTGGTAAGAGTTTTGGCCTAAACACGCCTTAAAAAACCGTAAAGGGTAGAGACGATTTATATACTTTCTTCTTTCTTCTAATGTTCAGGACCAAAGACTCAGCCGAAGATTAAAACACGTTAAAGTGAGTTATTTGCAACAGCGATTAAGTATATATGCAAATGTATGAATGGCTGAGACACTGTCAAAAGACAACATTCTCCCAATTTGGCACACGATGGAACGGACGGAGGAGCTCATGAAACATCCAACAAATATATACAAATATAAACTATTCACTAACACCTGGTGACATCAATGATATTCTGTATATGTTTTAGCACAATCTTGCCTTTTACACCCAATGAAATATGTTTCAGCAGATAATCGAGTCTGATTATTCTCTGGCGTTGATGATTTATGTAGTAAAAGGGTCATCATTGAATGATTACTATATCAATATTCAGGCGCTATCTATGGACATTGAGAATCAAATTTAGTGATGCTCGTATTATCAAAACTTCCTTGATACTGAAGTTTACAATTATCAAGATGATATGTTAAATCATTTGTACGATTCCATCAATGTCATCAAATCATTATCAAACAGTGATGATACCACGTGTTCGCGAAAAGGTAAGCGTATCCTGTCCCTTCGCTCGTACCAGGTCAAGCAAAAAGACGAGAAAACAAGCTGTTGTTCATGTGTAAATCATAATAGTATTTTCAGGTGACATTGGTGTTCACTAAACACTTAGCCCGTGAAGATTCCGGGGTAGAATAGGTCTTCAGCAACCCATCCTTGCCGTAAAAGGCGACTATGCTTGTCGTAAAAGGCGACTAACGGGATCGGGTGGTCAGGCTCGCTGACTTGGTTGATGCATGTCATCGATCCCAATTGCGTGGATCGATGCTCATAATATCAATCACTGGATTGTCTGGTCCATACTCGATTATTTACAGACCTCCGTCATATAGCTGGAATATTGCTGAGTGCGGCGTTAAACAACAAACCAACCAACCAACCAAATCACTTAACACTTAGAAAGGTTTTGTAAATATTCATAGTGATAGCCCCATTCTGTGAAGACACATACTTTTTGTTGTACATTGTTTCTGTGTAGTGAGATTGTTGAATTTCGGTGAGAATATTGTAGTATCGAGAGACTTCTTACGTTGGAATGTCTTCTCTAGAGCATGTTGTTTCTTGTGTTACACAAGATATTGTTTAGGGAAAGGAAATCAATAATGCAACTGAATCAGACATGAAATGTGAACAAAGAGGATAGCGATCCAGATTATGCACCTGAGGAGTACAGAGAAAGATCCAGAATCGAGTAACAAAAATTAAAATTAGAAAAACATGCCCGATGGTCAACAGTGAAGAGATGTAAAAATGATTGGCACAGATACAGATAAATGTAAATAGGTGAAGGGGAAATCGGCCAGCCTTGTACTTGCAAGAATAACAGTTCTGAAAAATTTGGAGCTGCTTTTGTTTCAAGAAACTTCCAAAAATTGTGCGAACATGCAGATGATACAACAGGATTACATGCTTATTTGGTTTCATACACCTTTTACACCCGCGAAAAGGCGGAGGGCGACGACTTGTGAGAGGTGAATTACTGTTCACAGGCCTTTAGGAACACCCATGCCATTGGAAAGTGCATTTTTGAGCAACTTAGTAAATAAACTGCAGCGAATGGTGGGAGTGAGAGACATACCCTGAAACAGAACGTTGAGGCCCATTTCAAGTCACTCCCATCACGCCAATCACTACTATCACTAGTTGATAATTCGGAGACCGGGAATCAGACTTAAAATCTCCCTCAATGACGCTTTTTCATCAGGACAGACTGAAAACATCAACTGAACTAAAGAGAGAAAATGAAATGCACAATATAAATGCTGACTCCTGTTTTGATCTGGATGAAAAACACAGATGCTTATCCTTTGATTGTCAACAAAATCTCCCCCTTTCAGACATTTCAGAATGTGTAGGTGTACAATTTTGGACTGCATGATTTAAAAACTGGGGATGGAATAATGTATTTGTGGAGTGAAACAGATGCCAAACGTGGTAAATCAGATGTGATTTCTTGTCTGAAAGCATCCGGTTTATGTAGACATAGAACTGCATCACATAGTGTGCTCCTCAGTGATAGCTGTGTAGCTCAAAACAAGAACTTAGATACGGTTACCTTACTAGCACCTCTTGTCCATGAAGGGCATTATTCTAATATTGATCTTCCTAGTTCGTCGTTATACCTTCCGACCCGTGAAGATCCGGGGTAGAATTGGTCTTCAGCAACCCATGCTTGCCGTAAAAGGCGACTATGCTTGTCGTAAGAGGCGACTAACGGGATCGGGTGGTCAGACTCTCTGACTTGGTTGATGCATGTCATCGATCCCAATTGCGTGGATCGATGCTCATGATATTAAGCACTGGAGTGTCTGGTCCAGACTTGATTATTTACAGTTCGCCGTCATATAGCTGGAATATTGCTGAGTGCGGCGTTAAACAACAAACCAGCCAACCAACCAACGTTATACCTTCCGGAAGTTTGCTCTTATTTAAAAGGTAAAGCGTGGATTCACTCCAGTGGTCCCCGAGGACTACGAAGTCCTTGTTCAGTGATCTAGGAGCAGGACCATTTTCGAGTTAAGATTATTGCTCATGACATGATCAGCGACTATAAAACCCAAGCTTATGATGACACCTTATCATCATAGATGGGTCAGGGATGCCATTTGGCTGTCCTACGGATTCAGCGAAGAGGTAGATCCATTACCTTGAGGGACAACAGCAGCCTCTCATCCCTCTCAGGTATACACAGAGCGAAGTGGAGCCTTTGAAAAAAATCATTCTCAAACAGAGGTGCTTCGCTTGATCATGATCACATAAATTTCCCTTCAAAGTATACCATCAACTCATCAAAGACCCCAACCAGTCATTATCATTTTGTTTATATTACTGGCTTCATCCTTCTGTTTATATTTCTGACTTCGCCGGTCAATATGTTTACTACCCTTTTGTGTACATAACAGGTTTCTCCACTCCAGTGTAACTACATCTACTCTTCTGAATAAACACTGCCTCCTACCTGTATACATACTTGTCAATCATACTCTGTACATCACTTGCTTGATAGTGGTGTTAGAACCTACACCGAAACGTCGCTCATAATTGTAATAAAGAAGTTGTTCACCCATAAATTTTATCCTTACTTAATATGATACATGTTTCAGAAGATATGAGATTTCTGATAATTATTCATATTGGAGTATGTATATTACTTCTATTATTGTTCGTCGGAAATACTTCTACACTGACAGGGTAATTAATTCAGTGGACTCGTGTTTGACTTCGTGAAATATTTATCTTGTCAGTTTTACAATATCATTTGAATAAAAGTCTTACCCAGCACTGTCACATAAGGAATAATTCATAGAAGGAATAACATTTTTTATGTCTATTGTTCTGGTTTTAGGAAAGGGGATTTCGTGTTTCTTGTCGACGGGAGTCCTTCCTTTTGTGCAATGTTTAAATTCAGGTGATCAATATTTACTTTAAACGAACTTAAAACGACCCTTAAACGTCACTATTGGAGAATATGTGGTGAGACCCAGAAGATATATATATTGAATATTTATAATTCAAAGACTTTTCCAACTCCGCACATATCAAGGGGAGTGCTGAGAGAAGACATCTGGTTCTGGGATCTTTCATATGATGCTTGTGTACACGAACTGGACCTCTTAAACATGTAGTGTGTCTTATGCATCTTTATTCACCGGTGACCTTCACATACTATCAAATGAATAATATTTCTGGCGGGGCAGACCATGCTTGAGCGTACACAGAATCAGCTTTGCCTGGAAAAATTGATTTCCACAGTTTCCACTGCTGCATCTTGAAACATGAAACTTTGCTGAAGATGGCTCAAATTTTTGCAAGTTCCGGCGTTTGCGTTTGCGTTTATGAAATTCACATATTTGATCATTTCGTTCAGCTTTGTGCTTCAATATTCTTAAACAACCCCGACTCAGGGGGTTGACTGAAGACACATAAGCGATATTGATTGTCTTATTCTTTTTTTTTCGCACACTGTTATATATATTGTTATTTCTCTTTATACTCTGATGCATACATGTTTCCAATTCTTTAAAAAGAATATATAGTTACAGGCTAATATGTAATCTAAAAGCGAAATGTTTATACATTTGGAAAGGGATAGATGCATATGTCAATTTAATAGTCATAGTTCAAATATAATTTTGATTTAACCATAAAATTCATGCACCTATATCGTCACTGTGGATTTATGTCCTATTTGTATGCAAGATCGCTTATCTATTTTTGTCTGAACAGGCATATGTATCACAGAAAATAGGTTTTCTTATTGACTTTATAATTGATATCATGATCCCATAATGTGATGAAGCTTTTATTACTTAAATCCAGAGACCATATATCGGTATATGGCTTCTGCTTATATCCTAATATATTTTCCTTGCAAGAGATAAATTATTACTGACTATGATGCCTCATAGGCCTATGAGGAGGTCAGTGGATCTGTCTGTAGAGGTCAGTTAACTTTGTACATGTATACAATCCCTGGCAGGTCAATGAAATAGTTTGGGACGACGTCACGTGACACAAGTGTCCACTTTCCTGCTTTTTCTAATGAGTTCATCAGTGGCTCAAGACATTCTTTGTATTCCTCCACGTTCACCAAATATTCTTCTCTCATCACATTGCATATCACTCCGCCTGTAAAAGTAAATGCATGATCATCAGTGGCAAATATAGGATGACTGGCTTTCTCTAGTATCCTTGACATAGTTTGATACATGTAATTGATATTCGAATGCGTCAGTGTTAACCAATGTATGTATGTTTTTCACATGGGTATATCCTCTCGTTGTTACCTGGTTTTGTGATCCGGAGAAGTTCCGTTAATCCAGAACAAGGAATATGTCCTTCCCCAAATCCACCACAAACAACAGCACAGTCGTACGTATCTGTCGGCATAAAAAATAGAACACATTATATATCTTTAATACTTTGAAAGGCGTCGTGGTAGGCGTTGGTTCATCATACCGAAGGTCTGTTCTTGATTCCCCTGTCCGAGTGTCCCATTTCGTGATGTGGCGTGGACATTACCGTTAAAACGGATTAGAATCCATCTCCCCTGCTCAATGTACAGAGAGAACTTAATGACCGAAGGTACCACAATTGCATTTATATATACTCTTCAAAACTGAAACGCAATACGGATATTTGGGGCCACAAAAACAAAATTAGCGGACCAAGAGGTGGAGAGTGAAGAGGTGTGATGTTTTATAGTGTCAGTGACAAATTTCCCGGATCCAAATGATCACAACAAGGACATGCAAACCATTAGTCGGAAAAAACGTACGAATCGGAAAACGAATCCAGGGCATTAACAAAGGGCCATTGAACTGCACGGACTGCTTGGCATCTGCGTCAATCGAACAGTAACAGTTCAAAAACATGCCAAGATTAACAGAAGTGCAACGAAACAACGTCATAGGCCGCTTGCAGGCAGGGGAATCCCGATCAGCTGTAGCCAGGGATTTCAAGGTAGCTCCCAGCACCATCACAAGGCTATGGGATAGGTTTCAACAGCTTGGGTCAACACGTGATCGGCAAAGGTCGGGACGGCCAAGTGTAACCACCCTCACCCAGATCGGTACATCCGACTGCTCCACCTACGTGAAAGGACGACCACAGCCACCTCAACCGCATCCCAAATACCCGGACTGCGCAGAATGGATGGATGGAAGAGCACGGGTCTGCATACGTCGGGGAAAATGTTACGCCGGCATACAGGAAGTGGACATGTTTGGTGGGGGTAGCGTAATGATGTGGGCGGATATCTCTCATCATGGCATCATGACAGGTTTGGTCCATATCCAGGGCAATTGTAAGGCTCAACTATATATCAACGAAATTCTCCTACCACACGTCCTCACCAATTGGAGCCAACGGCAACGGTGTTTTCCAGCAGAACAACGCTCGACCGCATACAGCATGGATCACAAGAGCCTGTCTACACAACAAGAACGTTGATGTTCTCCCCAGGCCCTCCAGATCCCCGGATTTGAACCCGATGGAGCACCTTTGGGATGAATTGGATAGCAGCAGTTGGCTTTTGCGTTGCAGGCCGAGTGGGCTACCATTCCCAGGATGTGATTCGCATACTCGTCTCTTCCGTGGGCAGGAGATGTAAGCCCGCTATCGATTCCAACGGGGGACGTACGCGTTATTGAGGGTAGCTGACCTTCACCTTGGACTTTTCCTATGTACCGATAACTGAGATGACTACATTCACCAAGTGTTCTCTCCACAACATTCTGGCTCAATACCTTGTACGGTTCCTCGTATAAATGTATTTTCCTACCTCACACAAATCTGGCTTGGCGTTTCTTTTTTAGAAGAGTAACTAAATACTGTTTTTGCTATTTATCATGATAAAGGGTATAATATTAAAACACCAACATCAGTAACAATACAAATCATGATACTACTACTACTACTACTACTACTACTACTACTACTATTATTATTAATAATAGTTTTCTAAAACGAGCCAAGGATGTGGGACAAACTGTCAGTGTTGATTATGTTGATGGTTCTGTACTGCTGGACGGTACAGAAATGAGTGTCAACCAAGCGAAGTGCCAAACAAGCCAGTCCAGACTCAGTTTTTCAAGGAGAGGCTTCCTGAGCGACCACTGCATCGAGTTTATGTGCAGTGTATTGATAGGAAACCCTGCAGAGTCCTTCGCTTGGATGAAGTCGGCTGGCCAGAAAAGTGAAACAGATGGTACTCTGTTTCCTGCTCAGGACCAGTCACCTCCCACTCGAAACCGTCAATGTGTGATTTTGTATCAAAATGTAAATATGAAATGTAGATTATGTAATGAATTTAATGAGACTGTCCAACACATTGTCAGTGGATACCCAGCTTTGGCACAAACACAGTATCTTAAGTGACATGATGGACAGGCTCGATCATTTTATTACTGTTTTCGCCATGCTTGTGGTTTTGACACAGAGGCCCATCCATGGTACGACCCGGAATATGTAGAGGGCGTCATGGAAAATGATAAAGACAAAATTGTTTAGAATAGGTCCTTTTTCAGCCTCAGACGTATCCAGGCCAACAAACCTGATCTTGTCCTTTTTGATAAATCCAATGAAATCATTTATATTATTGAATTTTCTGTCCCTTTTAAACACCAATAATGTGATTGACAAGATTCAGGAAAAACATGGCAAATATGCAGACCTCGCTTTCGAAATGTCACGCCTGCATCCCAAGTACCAAGTTGTCCGACTCCCCATTGTTCTGGGTGCCTTAGGTTTGGTACCTCCCAATCTGTTGACTGACATTGGGAGAGTACCCGGGTTTGCTACCAGGAATATAGCCCTTCTGATAATCTTGGTGATGCAGAAGACTCCAGTTTTGGGGAGTCTTCACATTCTCCGAAACGTTCTGGGTGGGTTTGACTAAGCTTGGGAGACTAAAGGTGTAGAGGGGGCAAGGGCCCTGAGCTGATTATGAGCCTAACCAGCCTGACTGTGCCAGGATCACCCAAACCCTCTCTGCGGCGTTTTCTATTTTTTCTGCAAATAAAAATAATGACAAATACATTTAAATTCTGTCATTGTTAATATGTCATCGATGACTGCTACATCTTAAAACATCTTATTTTTCCACAACAGTTTCATTTTTTCAGGAGTAGGCTTATGTATCACAATAACCAATAGGTAAATTGTCGATCCTTCAACTTACATGAGAATTAACACAGAATGCCAAAATCAAAACAATGCAATTTGTCCAAGAATTGTTTTCTTCAGATACAACAATTATCAGATATCATTCTATAACAGTCAAATTGCCGATTACCTTCAACTGATTTACCCACCTGAACTGGGGATGAAGGAGGCCTGTGACACCGCCTCGTCTGTTTCATATTTCGATATATGCATAAAGATTGAGAGTGACAAACACTCTCGTCAAGACTGTATGACAAGAGGGATGACTTTCAAACTTTCCAATAGTCAACTTTCCCTTTATGTCGAGCAACATTCCAGTAGTTCCAGCCCTTGCAAGTTATTTTAGCAACACTGTTCATATTTAAAGTAAAATATGATGAATAGAGCTATTGTGTGTGATGCCTCAATCACAACTACCTTCTGGTATTAACATCAATACAAAGAATACATCTTGGGGTTTATTTGAAGGAAATCTGTCCACATAATACAAGTAAATATAAAAAGATTATTGTTTTCAATGTTAATGCATTGAAAAAATATGTCCACTAACCAGTTTCTATCGGTAAAGGATCTTCTGTCAACATGTTTTCGAAGAGCGTTTCATACAGGCCTTTCTCTTTAGCCCTGGCAAGCATACTAGTCGATGGTTCCAGGGCGTCGACGTGCTTAAAGCCATGGGCCTTCAACTGAAACACGATAACACCTGACCTCGTATTTATTGTTTAAATAGTGTGGGTTTTTTGTGTGTAAATACCAGCGTAAGCTATGCAGCCATAAGGTTTGGATAAGCTCCCCCCCCCCCCCCCCCCCCCCCCCCCGGAGTGAATATGGTATGATATAAACTGCACGTAAAACAATACCTCAAGTTAAATGTACATGTAACAAAAGAACTTGATTTGAGAAGTAAGAAAATTGATATTGTAACTGAATACAAGTGTCTTGGCACAATCACGTACCATAAGCTTACGTGGATTGCCAATACAGATATATTTTATGAAATATCAACAAAGATTACATTTTATGCGTTAATTATTATTTTTTCTATATAAGCGAATATATTAAGCCCGTTATGTTTTGTTGAAAGTGTTTAAAACTATTTAATTCAATGTTTGTGTGGCTCTCATTATGTCGAAAGCAAACGCAAAGCTGAAACATTCGACCGTTAATAGGTTTATTTCACAGCATGACAGGGAATGAACAATCGTTCTGTAAAACAGTGGTGACGTCAAGTTCAATATCTGTTATGACCACCACGTGGTTGCATAGCCGCACGGCAACGTCTAGGCATTGACTGCATTAGTCTCCATAAGTATTATAGCGGTACCCCGCTAGGGTCGCATTCGCACGTGCAACTCGCAGTAAACACAAAATTCAAAGTTAGAGGATTTATTCAGATACAGCTACTCAAATACACATCCTAGACTCCGTGAACACCATGGTTCCTCTTCATTTACATCGAAACATCGCAGTTTGCCAATTCTCCACCACGTGCTTTCATCACAACAAATCGGTTTTTTCTTTCTAAGGGAGATAATTCTATAAACACATGTTCTGTGCATACCACTAAGATTATCTCGTTCCATCGCTTTCTCCTACCGCTACAAGTATCATTCTCCATTCCTCCTGCAGTGTTCGAGTCAGTTCATGAAGTGTTGCAGGCTTCGGCTGACGCTGTCGTAGTCATCGGCCGAGATCATTCCAAAGATGCTCAATTTGGTTCAAATCTGGCAATCTGGATGGCAAAGGAAGGCCATTTATGTTGATATTGGCTAGAAAGGCTCCCGTGACGTTGGACGTCAATAGTAGGAAGGAGGCGTTGTTGCAAACGTTCGTCCCTGTAACGTAAAGTGGTCAGATTACCTTGCACGTGAAAAAGATTCGTACGTTGTGTTGCCTCCCACATCATGACACTTCCTCCACAAAATCTGTTCACCTGACGTACACAGTTATGGGCAAAACGTTCGTTAACACGTCTGTTCAAACGACTTCGGACATCACGCCTTTGTTGGAGAAAACGTGAATCATCACTAAACCATATTTGTCTCCAGTGTGGCCGATTCCTGGTTTGCACGTTGGTATGCCAACGAACGTGTTATAGGCGGTGATGACGTCGTAAGACGTAGCCAAAATAAGCTCACAATCCAACCTGCCGATCCCGTACGTTTTCCATGATTTCCACTTGTGAAACCTGCAAAGTAGCGTTTGGGCGAAATGTTTTAGAAATTTGTGAACAACGAATCAAAAGTGAAAATTTCAAAACAAAATGGCACAATTTCCTATTCCAAATGCTTAAACCCGTAGATGTAGATGATCCACGGCGTATTTTAACAATTTAGAAGCCATTTTGGTGAAAGAAACAATATTCATCGTAATATCCACTCGGTTAGGCGTTTCGTTTTTTGGGAGTATATTTCCTGAACACGTTTTCTTTATGGCGAGCAACATATCCAGGGTTCCGTTTGATCACGTATCCGTCCTTTTTTCAAACTCTGCCGTGGGTTCTTAATGTTATAAGTTTAAGATGCATCTAAAAAAGCATCTAGAAAATGGTAACAAATAAAACCATTATAGCTGCAATGAGGAGTTGCATTAGATATAGTTTGTGACAGAACTTTTAGTTTGAAAGGAATCAATAGATAAAAGACATTTCACATTTATCACAAGGGTATTCTGGACATTTCATAATTATCATTGGATTGGTTCTTGGTTATCGTCCATTAGTTAATGAAAGTTATTAGTCATTAGTTAGAGAGTTTCAAGGTATAGTTCATTTGGAGCTTCCAGATGCGAGTCACAAAATCAATAGAGAGATGAACAATCTGGCACGTGGGCTTCTGTATTTTTCCGATTACGACACACATGAGTTCATGGTCAGATTGAACTTTTAACGAATCAAAATGAGGTATTGTGACATGTGACAAAGACAGGCCAGGCCCGAACACTATAAAATGATACCTTCAACATTAGGAGAGGAGAGCGCGGTTTGCAATCGATCGAGTCGAATCCCGATCGTTCTAAGTTTCCCCAGTTAGTGACGAGTCTGGCCGGTCTGATCCTGTCCTGTATTGATAGATGGGCTGAGAATAAGTAAAACTATGTGAGTATAAAACTGGTGTTCCGTTTCTTTATCATGCGTGTGTGAATGCTGATAGAGACACTTGGAGTAAGTGTCGTTAGACCAATCACTCCTTGGCGGAACCGAGCCGCGGCGGACAAGGCGAGTGGCAATGTCTTGGCGTAATTGACCACGAGGACCAGGAGCGGCAATACATTTAGTAACTGTATTAGGGTCGCTCTGGACGCCCGAAAGCAGTTACGACATTAATCTTTCTAAGACAGGATTTTAAACATCAGCATAGTCTTTCCCCAGTGTGTATTACATGTCCCTCTATATGTGGTTTTACGGTTACCCTTACTTATATATTATTTATTTTCAATGTGTGAAGCCCATTTCTGGTGTTCCCTGCCGTGATGCTGCTGGAATATTGCTAAAAGCGGCGTAAAACTATACTCACTCACTATGTCATGCATTTTCACTTGTAAAGAGACTGCCTCCGTGGTCTAGTGGATAGAGCGTCTGCCCTGAGGTCAGAGATTCGATCTCCGGCCACGTGATACCAAATGACGTTAAGAAATGGTAATTGTTGTTACCCTGTCTGGCGTTCGGCATTAAGGAGCCAAAACATAGACTGGTCGGCTCGGAGTCAGTATATAGTGTCAGAGTGGTATTCATGGTATCGCAGTGGGCTAGCACTATGAAATCGGCATTAGTCCAGGCAAGCACAAGCAGACACAGACACGCGCGCACCACGTCGCTATTTAAGTCCAGCAACATTGAACACGACGTTAACCCCATTTCACCTCACCTCTCTTGTAAAAAGGTATTGCCTCGAGGGAAACAAAGTCTTCTCGTTGCCAAACTCGCACCAGGCATGGTTTATTTGGTGGCAGCGTGGTTGAGGTTGCGGATTTTAAATGTATGCTTTTTCAAATGGTCATTTATGACCGTTACGTGTTGATCTTTTTGAAGCGTACTTGGAAACTCCAGCTTGAAAACCAGGGTATGTGTATGTAACCCACTTCTGCTTATTCGGGTTTGCCTTTGCAAGGTTATAACTATAATTACATTTTACAATATTGGTAACAGGATGCGATTCATTTATTGTTGTAAAAAAGTGTATTTATTCAAGAATAGGTTTATTAACAAACAATACATTTTATAAGCATCGTTGTATCTACAATCACAGTTCGTATGTTTAGTTAAAAATATTTATCAAACGATATAATTAATGCTTAATGGCACGCGACACTCTAAATGGCAATATGTGTGCTTGCGACGCATAATCATATATTACGACATGACGTCCATTCGGAGAATAGAACGAGAAATACAGGGATCATGTGCACTGCCAACATACAGTACATCAAGTCAAAATGGAAAGCCAAAATCAAGAAGTTTAAAGTGACCTGGATAAACGTCGTGTCAATACTTACATTTTCAGCCACAAATCCCGTCCCTGCAGCGATGTCAATGATCTTCTTCTGCTCCCTGTCCCGGGGGTAGTATCGGGCCATAGCATCAGCAGCTATCCGGGGACCGTTGTACCGCCCTGGGCAGAGAACCTTCACGTCAACGAGAAACAAGTCAGTGAGCCAGTGGGAAAGAAGGTGTGTGAGTGAGTCTGTGTCGGAGTGAGTCGCTGAGTGGGTATGTGAATGACTGTGTGTGTGTGTGCGTGAGTGTGTGTGTAAGTCACTGAGTGAGGTGTGATTGAGTCTGTGTCAGAGTGAGTCTTTGTGTGTGTGAGTGAGTCCTTGCGGATCTGGATGCGTATGAATCGAGATTTTTGCTGGGATTTGCAAAATCAAAGTATGGGAATTTGGCCAAGAAGTTGTACTTCAGCTGCATGTATATCGATGATCTTAAATTAATGACCTGCACCTATTATTTTCTCTTTGTACCTGTTAACCGCAGTTCAGCTAGATGAAATATCTATACGTTTGTTTAAAAGCAGAAGCTGATACATTTCATGTTCAGAAAAAAACAAATCATGATTATTGGTTACGAACAACTGTTTTAATGACTGATGGCAAGGACACGGTGAGTGGGCATGCGAGTGAGTGTGTGTGTGAGTGAGTGTGTTAGTGAGTGAGTGTGTGTGTGAGTGAGTGGTTGCGTGAGTGAGTTGATGCGTGAGTGATTCTGTGTCGGAGTGAGTCGATGAGTGGGTGTGTGAGTGGGTGTCAGAGTGAGTGTGTGTGTGAGATAGAATATGTGGGTGAGTGAATGGGTGTGTGTGTGAGTGAGTGGGTGTGTGAGTGAGTCTGTGTCGGAGTGAGTTGGTGAGTGAGTATTTTAGTGTGTGTGTGTGTGTGAGTATGTGTGTGTGTTTGTGTGTGAGTGAGTGGTTGCGTGAGTGAGTTGATGAGTGGGTGTGTGAGTCGGTGTTAGAGTGAGTGTGTGTGAGAGAGAATGTGTGGGTGTGTGAGTGTGTGTGTATGTGAGTGGGTATGTGAGTAGGTCAGCGTCGGAGTCAGTCACTGATTGAGGACGTGATTGAGACTGTGTCAGAGTGAGTGTTTGTGTGTGTGAGTCGGTGTCGGAGTGAATGGGTGTGTGAGTGAATGGGTGTGTGTGTGAGTCGGTGTCGGAGTGAATGGGTGTGTGAGTTAGTCGTTGTCGGAGTGAATGGGTGTGTGAGTGAGTGGGTGTGTGAGTGAGTAGGTGTGTGTGTGAGTCGGTGTGTGAGTGAGTGGGTGTGTGAGTGAGTCTGTGTCGGAGTGAGTCACTGAATGAGTGTAAAATTGAGTCTCTGAGGATGTGTTTGAGTGAGTAGAGGAGTGATTGATTTCACAATGTGAAGCAAAGGTACCCCGCTCCTTGCGGATCTGGTTGCGTATGAATCGAGATTTTTGCTGGGATTTGCAAAATCAAAGTATGGGAATTTGGCCAAGAAGTTGTACTTCAGCTGCATGTATATCGATGATCTTAAATTAATTACCTGCACCTATTGTTTTATCTTTGTACCTGTTAACCGCAGTTCAGCTAGATGAAATTTCTATACGTTTGTTTCAAAGCACAAGCTGATAAATTTCATATTCAGAAAAAAACAAATCGTGATTATTGGTTACGAACTACTGATTTAATGACTGATGACAAGGACACGGTGGTGCTATTAGCATGGCGTCATGGTTGGTATGTTCCCACGTTTGTGTTCCTTTGAAGTTGACAAAGCTCGATCAAAGCTTTTGGTATACGCGGATTTCACACAGTTTGCACATCGATTTTTAGATGCATACCCCAATTACCTAAACTCCACAGTCAATCCTTGAATGTACTGCTTGAAAGTTGTCATCTGTAACAATAGTGTTCAATTGCAAGTATCGATTGCAACCAGTGAAATAGTTGTCGTGAAGTGTAATTGCTTTCACAATATGAAACTGAGGAATGGCGCGTACATCAGCGACGTTTTACGGATCCTCGTCTATCATATTATTTTTTAACACTGAAGTCAGCAAGATAAAACCTATTTATAACGACGGCCTGTATATAATGCACCAGGCAATAAACTTATAATTACTGCTAATTAACTGCTAGTGTTGGACTTCCAGTTGGAGTTGTGCAGAGTTGCGTCCCTTGGGCACGCCAGAAACCTTTGATCGTGGGTTCGAATCCCGGTTCGCCCCGATTATGTTTCTAGTTTTGTCAGCACTATACCCGTGCTCGTGGGTTGCACCGAAGTGGTAAACGTCTGAGGCCTGCATCACTTCGGGGTTCCCTCCCACATTAAGCTGATACGCCGCGATATAACTGGAATACTGTTAAAAGCGGCGTTAAACACAACTCACTCACTCACTCACCTTAATTATGGGCAATGAAATTCTCGAAATTATATCTATCGTGTATAATACACACAGATTCTTCTTTTATATCATTTCAGGCTGTCAGCATACACCACAAAATTTACAATCTTTCAACTCTGTTTTTTTTCTCACCAAAATTATATTCTAATAAGAGCCCCCTATTTCTAATTTTGAGAGCGCCCTGGGCGCTTATTACGTCGAATACGGTACATGGACACACTGTCAGGCATGGCACTGGTTACAACATATGATAGGTGCAATAAGTATCTATGGATGCAACATTTGTCAACCGTGGAAAACTCACTCCCCCATTCACAACTTAAGGTCATCTCACTAAGTCATGAAAAAATACCACCACACTTACTCGACGTTTTTTCCAGAAACAAATTCACGATTATGTTTATAACCTAGATAAATAGTAACATGTCACGATTTGTGTTGGCGATAAGTGGGGAAGACAAAATACTAAAATATATACACAACACAACGTATCTGCTAGCTCAGGTACGAAACAGCCACTTGCAAATCAATCACAACAAGAGTTTACCACTAACGTGGCTATATCCCCCGCCCCTGTTGCAGAATTTATTACATAATTAAATCTAAACAAACCCTAACCTTTTTTAACCGAGGTGGAACTTGTCATGGAAATTGTAAAAAAAAAGAAGAGTTTGGAACTTAAGTCCATCTTGCTGCCATGGAAACGTAAAAAAATATAAAACATTCTAAAATTTCTAAATAGCAAAAGGCACCAGTCCTGCATGTACCTGACAAACCTGCAAAGTTTGATGAAAAAATATTGAACGGTTTATGAGTTATGATCCGGAAACGAACCCTAGCCTCACAGAACCTAAGTCCATCTTGCTGCCATGGAAACGTAAAAAAATATAAAACATTCTAAAATTTCTAAATAGCAAAAGGCACCAGTTCAGCATGTACCTGACAGACCTGCAAAGTTTGATGAAAAAATATTGAACGGTTTATGAGTTATGATCCGGAAACGAACCCTACCCTCACAGAACCTAAGTCCATCTTGCAAGGGACAGCGCGTCGGGAAAGGGCGGGGAATGAAAGGTGTGTCTTTATAAGACAGAAAAGAATTCGTAAGTAAACAAAAGTAAAGGGTATTCAATAGAGCTATGTGTATGGCGTGCTGCCCTGAATAGACAAGCAGCCCAGTTTGAATTGAGCGCGCTTGACAACTCACGTGACCACGTCGTTTCAAATTGTTTATTTATGATAAAAGTTTCGTTTATTTCAGGCGTTAGTAGAAATTACAATTAGTGTACAACTCACGTAGTCGTTTCAAATTGACCGCGCTCGCTAGACCTGCGACCTGGTTTGATGAATGCAGGGTGTGTGTTGAAAGTACGACCATACCGCAATAGAGACGGGTTGTGTCAACATGATATACGCCGGGTAATGTAGGTAGGGAAAATGTACGTCTAGCTGGATCAAATTCATCTTATACGGTCTACACGTTGTACACCATGAACGTTAGACAACCTGTATGGAAAAAATATAGACAAAATAGATAAGACTACGCAATCAGCAAGCTAGCAGTTTACATTTAGCGCGCAAGAACGAGCTAATGTATAGCAGAGAGACTAAGCGACCGACCGCCCATAACAATGTCAACATACCCCGGCCTTTCAATTAATGTCAACATACCAGCCTCGCCTGAAGCTTCCCATTCATAAATTGTGTGACCAGTGTCCCGTATTTATGATATGTTAGGGAAGATGTGTTGTACATTTGTTATCTTAAAAGGGAGTTATTTCAGAGAGGATATATATGGGTATTCCCCCCGTCATTAAACCCTTCTTTCGTTGGTGTCTATTAAACGTATCCGGTATTTAATACATTTGAATGATGTAGGAAAGTATGTGCGTGTAGATGTTGTACCTATATCCGAACACGAATGTATGACACCTTTCAATAGATGAATTACGGTTCTAACCACGACACGCAACATGACTATGAGCGTGGTTAGCAGTTCATATTTATAAACACATCGTAAATGACAGATTTCTGATGAATGAACTCGCCCGCACACATGTTATGTTCGCCCGAACTGTAAACAGTAACACATTGATAACAGGAAGGGTGTGTGGATTGCACTCGTCCTTGTAAGGGTAAAATACGCGTTTAAACTCACCATTTAAACGATGACATTACGTTTTTAGATGTATTGGTATCAGTGAGTGAGTGAATTTAGTTTTACGCCACACTCGGCATTATTCCAGCTCTAGGACGGTGGTCTGTCAATAAACGAGCTTGGACCAGACAATCCAGTGATCAACAGCATGAGCAGCGATCTGTGCAACTAGGAACCGATGGCATGCGTCATCCGAGACTGACCAACCGATCCCCGTCAGTCGCCGATAAGCATGGGTTACTGAAGGTCGATTCTATAACCCGGACCTTCACGGCTGTAGTATGACGAAGACTATATACTAATATGATCGCTTTTTTAACATACTCACAAGTGTGCTGTGGAGAAAAGAGTGTCTTCCAAGATTCCCTGCACGTGTAAGACAGTATAAACTCTACAGTAGTGTAGCCCGACAAACAGTTTTACTCTCGCCAGCAAACGGATTGGACGTGAACAACATGAAGAAAGCATCAGAGATTAGACTTGACCCTAGAGATATATTTAGGAAGACTACGTTGAGAAAATCACAACAGAGAAAGAAACCACAAGCAGCCAAGAAGTCGACGCTGAAGACAAAGAAGAGACAGGTAACACCTAAAATGAA